GAGTGTGATGTCTGTGTTCACTTCCTGTCTGCACTCCCTGTGTGTCTGAGTGTGATGTCTGTGTTTACTTCCTGTCTGCACTCCCTGTGTGTCCGAGTGTGACGTCTGTGCTTACTTCCTAGTGTCTGCACTCCCTGTGTGTCCGAGTGTGACGTCTGTGTGCTCACTTCCTAAGGTGTATAGACTGCCTCAGGTGAGGGTGTTGAGAAACAGCACATGGTGATTGCAGACCATTGCTGTAGAAATAATAGCGAACTTGGGCAGCAGGCCAGCGGTCAGAACCCCAGAGCCACAGGGTTAGAAGGCGTGGCTTTTACTGTTCAAATCAGTGGCCAACTCTCCAAATATGTTTTGCCTTTCAAAGTTCAAAGTAGGACTCAGGTGCCATTGGACATAGCTTACCAACCCTGTGAATGGGCTCCAACCAAATGTCCAGGCCAGTGTATGAGCCCAGAAGACCAGTGTCCAGACCTGCTCTTCCTGTGGCTTAGCAGATTTAGCAGTCGAAGCACCTTCTGCGGTGGGCCTGGCATAAGTAGCCTGCTGTCACGGGCAGCCAGGGAGTCCCAGGAGAGTTGGGTCTAAGGTCCTCAGAGGCCACACACGGGAGAAGCCAGGTCAGAGCCCAAGGGCCCCGGCCACACATGTGTGCCATGGGGGAAGCCCCTCACTGGGGCCAGCCTGGGTCCTCGTCTGGGCAGCACCAGTGCTGGGCAGGGTGGGCAGCCATGCCATATCACGGAGTCTGGTCAGCCTCGGGTAACCCTTGGGAGGGCAGCTGTGCTTGGCTGTTCCCCAGCACTCGAGAGTGGCATCCTCTGTCTCTGTGCCCTCCGGTGTGTGGCAGCACTCTGAGGTGGCTCATCTGAGCTGAGCTGGGGGAGAGCCCCTAGAAGGCAGTGGGGACACCGGCCTCGTGTTGTCCCCGGTGCTTGCCTTGACTGTCTCAGCATTACATGACCAGCTTTGCTTCCACTGGCCTCTCTGTGAGACTACCTGCTGGTTCCTCTGCGAGGACTGGGCCTCTCTGCAGCTCCCGGTGCTGCCAGCTGTCCTGACCAGGTCTCAGCTAGGAGAGGCCAGGTGCCACCTCAGCTGTCCCCTGCTTTGACCAGGGGGCGGTACTCTGAGAGGCCCACCCCGCCTTGCCTGAGGGGTCAAGGAACAAACCTCATAATCACTTGAGACCTCTGTGTCCATCAAGGACCCTGCCAGGGTGGCAGGAGCTGGCCTTGAAGCAGACTCTTGGGAGGACAGGAAGCCAGCAGGTGTGCGCTACAGAGGGGAACAGGGCATGTCCCTGCTGTGCCTGGAGCAGCAGCCCCTCCGACTGATGCTGTCCACTCAAGGCTGTGTGCCCTCCTGGCCGTGTTATCCTGGCCACTGTCCTGGGTGGTGAGGTCACAGGGCAGGGGTAATCACCACTGCTTCACCGCAGGCATGAGGACCCAGCACCGTGTCCTATCTTCTGCTGCTGCCTCAGGACCAGGGCAGGGCAGGGGGCTTGTCTGCAGTCCCGCCTGCTGTTGGTCCCTGTCCTCAGCAGTGTGCCTGCGCCCTGCAGACAGCCATGTGAAGTCCTGGGCACCTGGGCCTGGCTTTGCCACAGGAGCTGCACCCCCACCACCTGCTGGTCCTGTGGAGGCCCAGCTGGGGCTCTGGGCTCTTCTGTCCTGCTCCACCTGACTCGGCCTGTGGCCCGGGACCTGCCTCACTCTCTTTATGCTGGTTGCTGCTTAGGACCCTGGAGGCCTAGTGTCCCTTGAGGAGTAAAGGCCAAGCAGGGCCAGCCTCCAGAGCCCCGAGGACCCCACGGAGGATGAGTGCCTGGCCCCTGCTCTGCAATGGGGTCGCAGCCTGTGGAGTCCTTCCCTCGGCGGAAGCAGTGCAGAGGCTGTGCCTGGAGGAGCAGGACACGTGCCGCGGTCAGCAGGCGTTCAAGGACCAGAGCTGCTGCCAGGACGGGTTCAGGACTGGGGTGCCTGGGGGGTCTCCAGGTGGCTTCTGCAAGGATGCCTCGTCCCCTCAGGACACCCCCACTGCCCACTCTCCCGTTTCTTCCTATCTTTTTTAGTTCCGAGGGTTGAACCCAGGGGCGTTTAACCTCTGAGCCCTGCTGCCAGACTTTTTTTATTTTTTATTTTGAGACAGGGTCCTGCTCAGTTGCTGAGGCTGACTCTGAACTTGCAGGCCTCCTGCCTTAGCCTCCCGAGCCTCTGGGAATACAGGCTTGGCCACTGCGCCCAGCTGTCTGATTTCTTACAGGGAAGCCAGCAGCTCTCTGTCCTATGCACTGTAAGGCCCCCTCAGCTGAGACCCTTGGCACTGTGTAGACTGACCCTCAGAACTGCTCGCTGTGGAGTCTGTCTCAGCCTCAGCACTTGGTACAGTCAGAGCACCCATTCCATGCTAACTGCATGGTGGGCCTCCAGGGCCAGCAGGCTGTTGTACTCCCAGGCTGGTGACGGTGCATGGGGGACACTTCTGCCCAGCAGGCCATCAGCCCAGGTGTCCACTGTGGTCGGGTTTAGTCTTGCCATGACACTGGAGCGTGCCCATCTGCTCTGGAGTCACTCACCAAAGACATTGGCCTCTGGGGATTACAGGAGACAGGTGCAGGGTCTGAGGGTGTGTAGGAAGAGATGCCCAGCGGTCTGCCAAATGCCAGGTGTGGAGAGGAGAGCACACACCCAGCCCCATGGAGGTCCAGACCCAAGTTCAACAGCCTAGGGCACAGAGAGGAGCAGACCCACAGCAGCAGATACAAGAAACCAGAGAGCCTCATCCACCCCGGCCCAGGCGTCTGCCCACGACTGGCTTCCGATGGACAAGCTGAGTTCCTAGGGCAGTGTGGGGAAGCTCGTGTGGACAGTTTGGTGGCTGATGTGACTGTCCCACTCTGGCCTGCTAAGGCCAAGGAGGAGCTTGGTTTTGGAAAGTGCTAGGAGTTGGCAGCACCGATGGAGGGCAGCCTGATGTATAAGCTGGCCGCCCTCGTGGGTCAGGCTGTAGGACAGTGACCACAGATTGTCCCTGACTCGGGGTCATGTGCCTCCTTCGGGTTTAAAGTGGTGCAGTTGTCCTGTTCCCGGGGGTGGGGGGGTCCACTCCGCAGGTCCTGGTAGATGCTGTCTCATGGCACTGCTGCCTGGCCTGGGAGGGGACTGGGCGTGGACTGGGCCTCTGCCTGCCCGTGTGGAGCTGGGAGAGTGTCAGCCAGTCACAGTGAGAGCCGAGCACATGGGCGCAGACTGGCTGGGGCTGCAGATATGCAAACCTGCTGGTGCCTGTGTGCTGCTCGCTCTCCAGGACGGGCTTTTGTTACTAGAGTGGAGAGAAATCAAGCAAGAAACGTTCCATACACAGGTCTAGAGGTATACGCCCCCCCAGGGTTCTCTTACACAGGCACTTTCTAAATTAACCCCATTGATCTGAAGCAATTACAGCTGATTTTGCATTCAAATTAGTGCCTCTAAGGTACATTGGCAAGCTTGATATAAACAATCATATTATAAAAAATACAAAAAGGAAATGATTATCTGAAAGTTATCATTATAAAGCAAAAGAAAAGATGGATTCATGAAGGATTCAGAAAACAAAGTCAGAAGGTATCAACTTGATTTCACAATTCTCAATCTAGCCTTTGCACAGAAGCTCAGCAATCAGGAGACATTCATCTCTGACCCAATCATCTTTTTCCACCAAGTGGCCAAGCTGCCTGTAGCTGAGCAGCAGGGCCAGGGTTCCCAGGCTGGTCCCCACCACACAGGGCCAGAGGCGTAGGCCCCAGATGTCCTGTGCTGCAGTGCGGTGGCAGGAGACACACTGTCCCCTCCCTCCCTGTGGCCTGCCTGGACCCCATGTTTATCAGTGGCAGTGCTGGGGATTTGTGTTGGTAATTCACATTCTGTTCCTTGAGATCCTTAAGAACATATTCTCCTCTCTCCCCGTTTCGCCTGGTGCCTTTCCCTTTCCCATCTTAAGTGGAAAGTGGTGCCAGAGGTCATGGATGAAGTCCATACTCTTCATCAGCAGAGCAAGCTTTTTTCTTATACTTTTTGGATATTGACTTTTTCTTCCTGTCACTTACCTTTAATCCATAGCAACCTTGAATTATGAGGGGGATTGACATTAGCCATAAAGAAAAGCCAAACAAAACCAGACTGCTGCTGAATAGCCCCACTGGCCCCAAAGAGAGTCAGAGAATCACTGTAGTACTCTTTGGGTTTGAATCATTGGAAAAAAAATCTTATTATTTTTCTTTCTAATCTGTCTGTCCATCTGTCTATTAATCAATCAACCAATCTCTTTTTGTGGTCCTGGGACTAGAACCCAGGGACTCTTTTTCACTGAATCACACCTCTAGCCCTCTTTGATTTTCTATTTTGAGACCAAGTCTTGCTAAGTTGCTGAGGCTAGCCTTTGGATCTCTGGTCTCAGCCTCCCCCGGTCACTGGGTCACGGTGTGGCCACTGCACCATGCATTTTTTCCCTAAAGTAGTCATTTCAGGCAAAGTGAAGCAGAAGAGGAGCAGTGGTTTCCTAGTACTTGGGTCATTTTTAAAACCTGCATTTGAGACAAAGAAAACTCCTGATTATTCAATGTTTTTGCAGTTTGCTAAATACACTTGTATTTACCCTTCCACAGTGTGTTTCTGTTTGCCCCGACATGGCAGGGAAGATAGGGCAGGAAAACAGAGTCCTTTTTTTCCACTTCTTTTTTTATCGAGTAGATATGAATCAACAATTACTCGAGGAATTTGGCAGGACAAACATTGCCTTTTATCTGTGGACTAACTGAAGGCTCTTTACTAAGTGCCCCTGTCCAGGACGTGGCCAAAATAGGTCAGAAAATAAGCAGCCCCACCACTTCCACGGCCTACCCCCGGAGCAGAGGAGACCCATGGGGGCGGCAGGCACCCAGCCTGTGCTGTGTGTAGGAGACACTGGCCAGCGTTCGGGCGAGAGGCCATCAGCCTTCTGGCCAGAGGCCATCCGTGGTTTGGTGGGAAGGACGTGTCCTGACTCCTGTAAAGGGATCCCGGTTGCCACGTGGTGCAGGCCACCTGTGGGCGGGGCTGCACAGGTCCCATCGCTGGGAGCAGGTGGAGGTCGGCACAGGGTGAAGCAGAGGGGTGCAGAAGCGTGGACTCGAGGCTCGGGGTAGGGCCAAGCTGCGCCTGGCCGACAGGACACCAGGGGGAGTGGCAGGGGTCAGCATGAGGACGCTCTGGCACGGAGCGGGAGAAGCTCCAGAGCAGCGTCAGCCTGTCCCGGAAGGAACGGTGGAGTCCAGTCCTGTGCCCTGGAGTCGCCCCCTGCACACCTAAGTGGGGAGCCAGGGGGAGAATCTGGGGAGATGCCGCCTGCCCCCGCCCCGCGGGCACCCTCAGGAGTGGTCTAATTTGAAGCCAAGAGGCTGACCTAGCCCACCAGTGAGTGGGTGTAGATATGAAGGAGATGAGGCCCAAGCCCACCAGAGAGCCATCTTCAGTGTCAGGGAGAAGGAAGGAGGAAGGGCAAAGAAAATGGAGAGGGGGGCTGCCTTCCAGGTAGGAGGAAGCCAGGGGAATGGGAGAGCTGCCCGGAACTGGGAGAAGGAGAGGGCAGCCGTCAGGTGGGCCAGGAGGAGCACTGAGCAAAGATGGGGTCAGGAAGGGGGAGGCAGGAGGACTGCGTATGAGAAGCTACCGAGACACACAAGTTGAGGCTCAGAGTGAGAAGGAAGGAGAGACCCAGGTGTTCCCCGGGGTGTGGCCGTGAAGCCAGGGAGGACACAGTGCTTCTCCCGGCAGCTTTAATTTCACCCAAAGATTTGGGGGAAGTCATTTTGAGGCAAACATGGTGATTTTTAATGATTTTAATATGAAACCAAAGATTTCCAAACCTTGTACAGTACGTGGCTCAGGGCTTCCTTCGCAGAACCTCGTCTCCTCTGGGAACGTGGGGAAGGTCCTAGAAGAAAGTTCTCTGGGGTCAGTGGACGTGGCCCAGGAACTCAGACTAAATGAAACACTCTTCAGTTGGGCCTGAGCACTGTGGGGGCCCGGCCCCTGACCTGCCTGAGGCGGCCCTGTCCTTGCACACGGAGCCCGCTGGCCAGCAGCACCTCATGGAGCAGATGGCCTCCCTGAGGTCGCCGAGGCCTCCAGACGGAAGAGTCCTTTGGTAACGATGTCTCTTTCCCTCCCAGCCCCCAGAGGCAGCGCCGAGGGCTCCGCTCCAAGGCAGGTGAGTGTGCCTCTGTTGGAGCTTACTGACCGGCTGGCTCACAGCAGGCTGAGATCCCAGAGGGCCTAGGAGAAGGAGCGGCAGAGGAAGGACCTGTCCCTGTGGGCCCCGCCCCGCCCACCAAGTGCCACCCGAAGCCACCAACTTGCTGAATCATTCAGCTACAGATTTCAGTTATTTTAAGGACAGTTTCTGGTCCGCTTGTTCTGTGGAGTGGCCGTTTCACAGCTGTCCTCTGGGTGCTCGACGTTCATTCCTTGCATTTTCAGGAGACGGCAGGAGGAGGAGAGCCCGAGGCCCCAAGGCTGAGCTCCTGAGGGCTTTCAGCTTCTCCTGTGTTCTGTTTCTGAATCTCATCTTATAGAGGGCAAAGGATGCCACGTGGAGCCTCTCTCCAGCTCCCGTGCCACAGCCAGGACAGAGCGTGTCCCGCAGACCTTTGTCCCTCCCTGGAAGTCGGTCCCTTCCCCTTTGATATCTGTAGGACACCCTCAGGCAAGCCCCTGGGTTGTAAGTGGGGACCTCCACTCGCACCTTGGTTGTAATTTAAAACGGTTTCATTAGGAAAGACTTGTAAGGTTCCTCTCACAGATGTTTATGGTCTAACTTACAAGTCACCTACTTGAAAAGCGGCTCTGGGAAAGCAGGTGTCCAGGGAGCTCCGGGGCTCCCAAGGACTGTCTTCCTTAGACAAGGAAAATCAGCCTGGATCTTCAGCTTTGTCCAGAGAACGGAGCTGGAGCAGCGTCCCGGCCCCCCTTGTTCTGAAGGATGTGTTCCTGGCTGGTGTCTTTACTAGGGTGGCTGCCGCTGCAGATGCCATCCTGGGAGTAAGGGCTGGGGCTTGCTTGTGACTCTGTAATTGAAGACCACTGGCATTTCTTTGAGAAACGGAGTGGTGCCAACGACCAAAGCCTGTGGGTGCGTCACCGTAGGCAAGACTGTCAAGGCAGGCATGACAGGCGGATGCCCGGAGCCCATAGAGCCGCACAGCCACCTCCTGAGGGTGTCCGAGCTGTGGTCAAGCTGAGCTGAGCCAGGATGCCATTCTGTCTGCAGTAGCTGGGAAGCGTGCCCAGGGCTCTTGCCATGATGACTAGGTGAACAGACCTGTCCTGGGCTTGGTGTGGCGTCAGGTTCTCTCTTCCCGCCGCCTCCTTAGATCTCTATCAAGGGAAGGAGGGCAACCCGGAAGGTGCCCAAGTTTTCAGAGTTTGATAATCCTAAGTAACCCAGCAGAAGCCAGGGTGAACTCACCTGTAGGGCTGGTCCCCGTGGAGGGGGCCTTCAACAGGAAGTCAGGTGCTGACCGAGCCAGAGATCTGCACTGAAATGCTTTTCCAAGTGCATTTCTTGAAAAGGTGAAAAGGAAAATTTAAAAATCAACTGTGGCTTTATCAAATTTGAAGCATAAATTAGATTATAAAAGCCGCGTTCGTGTGATGAATCTAAGGGAACGGGAGGATCTGCAGAACACCAGGGTATGGCTCACGTAGAATATCGGAAGTCAGTGCTGCTGTCCTCACTGGTGTGCTTCTCCTGGTTCTCTGGCCTTCTCGGGCCAGGGTGAGTACGTCCAGGATGCTCTCCTTCGACAGGCCAGCGCTCTTCCCTTCCCGCCTTCCCTCCTGGGGCCGTCCATCTCCTTCCCAGGAGGCAGGTCTTGGTCCTCGCAGATGCACACCCTCACACTCCCCTCTTCTCTTTTTCAGCCGAGGAAGCAAGGATGAGCAGCTGGCCCTTCCATGGCGGTTTCTAGACATGTGGGAACCTCCCTCACCAAAGAGCGACTTAAAACAAGCCCATAGTATTTGCACTTTGTACTTTACCTGTAAATCCACTTGGTAGAAACGAGATGTTTAAACGGACTATTTGGATCTGAGTGTGGAAGGCTGGCTTCAGACGAGTCCTCACATACAATGTATGTGGCCTCCGTCCACCGTGGGAACCGCGCCTGGCGGACAGGAGTTTGGAAAGCACGGAGCTTCTCGGCTCTGCCCGGGGCAGCTGCTGGCAGCCTCCTCCAGGCCCTCTGCAGCCCTGCCTCGGGCTGCCTGCGCTCTCCCAGTCACTGAATGGAGTTCCTAGGTCCTGCCCTGACTGTGCTCCGACTGCTGCTCCTTGGGATTCCGTGCTGGTCTATGCATTTCGCTCTCCCGAGGTCTCTCGTCCCCATGAGCCAGGTCCCCAGGAAGGACTGGGTCCCCAGGAAGGATGGCAGGGGCTGGGGGAGAGCTATCAAACTTCCTCACCTCCACTTTCAAGCTTCTGTTGCAGTTTGCTTCAGGTTCAGATAAGTCCAGGCAGGCGCCCTAGAGGGGCCCTTCCTTCAGAGAGGGGACCCAGGCTGTGATGGCCGCTCCTGCCAGCCTGCTTCTCTGGGCCCCCGGGGTCCCCTGGAAGACAACGCCCTCCCTGAACAAATGGCCCACATTCTCCCCCAGGGGGCGTGGCGGCAGAGGTGTGGGCAGGGTGTGGACTGGGCCTCAGGAAAGGCTGCGATTCCTGCTCCGCACACTGCTGAGGCCTCAGGGCAGGGGCCTTGCCAGCAAAGTCCACCTGAGGGTGTGGCACAAGAGGGTCAGCAACTGAGTGCCCATTGTGAGCAGCAGAGTTGGCTCTCATGGCCACTGCCACCCTGGACCTGGCCCTAAGCCAGAGGTGTGAGGCCAGCCAGCTCAGACTTCTGTAGGAGGGCCTTGTGGCCTGGTCCCCCGCACGTGTCCCGTGCAGTCATGACCCTGAGGGTGTGTGGAGAGGCGTCACGAGGACCGTGCTTGTTGTGCAAAGGCAAAGAACAGGCCGGGAGTCCCAGGCCAGCTCAACGCGCGTCAGCATCGTCTAGGAAACAGCTGTGAGCCTAGTTGTTTTGGATACTTGTTTATATTGCTGAACTTTGAAATTAATCATTTTTCCTAGATTAAAATAAGACGTGATCAAACTGCATCGAGTCTTTTCTTTCCAACTGACACGACTTGACACCTCCTCAATGGGAAAGGTGTGTGCTGACGTGGTCCCACCAAGGTACCAACCACGGCACCGTTCTCCCCAGTCCCCAGCCGGTCCTGCCTAGAGCTTGCCTTTCTGCCCCCTGTCTTCCCTGGCTGCCTGCATGGTGTCAGAGGGGCACAGCTGAAGTTCTCTCCTCCCAGGGCTGGCGAGGACGCTGCTGTGCTGCGGTGTGAGCAGAGCCTGTGGCTGACATTCACAGAAAGGATGTGCTTCTAGGTACACACGTGGCCTGTCTAGACCTGCCCTCCTGAGGGGACGTGGCACCCTCGGCAGCATTCATTACCCCATCACGGGAGGTCCCCATGGCCCCGTTCGAGTCTCAGATTGACTAGGGAAGGGCCGGCACCTTGCAGTCCTGTCAAGGAAGCCCCTACCCCTGACTAAAGGGCGCTTTTCCCTCTCCACCAGTCCACTCCCATCATCCACCTTCATCATCCACCTTCATCATCCACCTTCATCATCCACCTTCATCATCCACCTTCATCATCCACCTTCATCATCCACCTTCATCATCTCAGTTAACAAAAGCTCTGGAGTTTTCTGTTCTCCGCCATCTGATTGTGGCCGGGAGAGCCTCTGGGTGCCTTGGCCGTTTCTCAGGTCTTGGGAGTTTCGTGCCTGGAGGACATGCCCAAGAGCTGAGCTCTTTGTGAACGCTGAGCAGCCCGGGGCTGTGCAGAGCCTGCGTCTTTGCAGACAAGTAAGACACGGAGGCTGTGTTCCCCACTGTCGGTGAAGTGCAGCTTGACTATTAAAAGGGAAACCGTTCATGTGAATAAGACTGGAGAGGAAGGCCTCCCACAGCCCCAGCCGCCTTCCGGGTGCGGAAAAGCCCCACAGATCAGCGCCCTGGCGTGGAGCCCAGAGCACACCTGCCTGATCCTAAGTCAGATGCACGTCCACTGATGACAGTGCTTTTCTTTGGGAACCTTCTCATCTGGTCAGACCTTCACACTTGGGGAGGTCTGGGCTTGTCACCTAGTGGACCCTCTGCAATGTCCTCATCTCTGTCACAGCCCCCGCTGTGAGCTTGGTCAGGCAAAGCCCCTCGTAGAGAGCCCACGCAGCCCTTCCCATAGAGCCTGCATCAAGACACTTGCCAACTCATGTCCCTCAGTGTTGACGGGCAGGGTGACCCTTGGGTGTCCCTGGTATTCCGATTCCTCTTCCCTCTCCTCCACCCCTGGTTCCCACCTGGTCACCCTGCTGGCCAGCTCCTCGTGGGTGGCTCACCCACACATCTCTGCAGCCGGATGCTCCTCCTCCTCCTGTCTCCACAGCGGTGAGGCTGTTCCTCGCCCTTTTCCAGGCTGCATCCCATCCCCCTCACTCCTGGGGATCTCACTGTCTCTTTCTGCTCTGAGCTTGGGTGCCCCTGCCCCCATGGCTCCTGACCCTGGAGCCCTGCCCCATAAGGTACGCTGGGCCTGGGCCTGGAGTAGGACCTGGGCAGGGCACGGACCTGCCTTCCTGAGGGGACATGGCACCCCAGGTAGCAGCAGCCTGGTTTCTGAGCCTTCCAGCAGCACTCTGCAGAGCTGGTCATTTTCATGGGTGTATCGGAAGGCCAGCATATCTGCCTCTCTGGGTCTCGGGGAACTCCACGTTCTCGGGCTTGTGCTGTATGGAGTGGGGAAGTTCACAAGGAGATGACCAGCGCCTGACTTTCCCATGCCATCCTGTGCCCAGCCCACCTGAGCTGAGCCTCCCTCTGTTCTCCATGGAGCAACGGGGCCTTCAAAGCCACTGCCTCCAGTGATGGTCTCCTGGGACTCTCCCTGGGCCGGGGCCACGCGGTCTTCCTCTTTCTTACAGAGCAGGATGCATTCCCGCTAATTTATTGGCTTTTCCTTTTCTGGAATCCTCCACTCGGGTGTATGAAGACACCCTTCATCCTTGGCTCACAAGAGCCGCCGGCTCCAACAGCAAGGCAGGAGTGACAGGAGCGCCCGACAAGCGCTTCTCGGGGTACAGCTGCTGGTCAGGTTGGTTGGAGAACTGGTGGGCGAACGTGAAACACGCAGCACAGCACCCAGTGCACACACCTAGTGTGCCGCAGTGGGATTGTTCTCAGCAAACTCCTCAGATCATCTCAGCCTTTTATCAGGAATGGGATCACACCTCCAATGGACCCACGTCCTGGCGGAAAATGAGCCACTGGCCAAAGGAGGAGTTGGGCTATATGGGTTACACTGAGATCACGTCACTTGGAATGTCACATGTCACTCAGGAATCTGGGTTTGATGAGACCCCTTCCCCCAGCAGTGGCCAGCGTTTGGGAAGGACTCGCCGTGGAAGAGAGGAGAGCTGTCACGTGAGCCGCTCTTTTCACTACCCCCCCACTGTCTTGGGATTTTTATTTTCCATATCTAACAATGGTAACTAACATGGCAGTCCTCCTCACGAGTACATAACTGCTTGTCCCCACTCATTCCTCCTGTCCTGGGACAAACACCTTTCTGTCTTAGAAAGAAGTCTGTATGTCACCACCTCCTCCTGCATCTGCAGGGATGTGAAGCAGCCGGACGTAACCTCCTTCTATGGCGTCATGGCTCCCACAACCCCTCTGTCTGGTTCTTCTGATCATTCCTCTACTGTCCTAGACGATACCAGCACATACAAAATAAACAGCCAGCCCGTACCCTGTGCTCCGAGAATAACTGGCACAGGACTGATAGACACCCTCCCTTGAACGCAGCTTCCGTTTCCATTCTGTTCAAGAGCAAAGAAGATGCGCTAATGTCCCCCTGATTCCCAGATGAGATGTTTGTTCTGTGGCGCTGAAGCTCCCGAGAGGAGCTTCAGGACAGAGGGCAGAGGGGCAGGACCTCAGGTGTCCAGAGCTGAGGCCCTGGGAAGGCTATGGTCGTCCACTTAACTGCAAACACCTGGTCTCTGCACCAGTGGTAGGGAAAACTATAAAGCACACACAGATGCAAACGCTTCCTGCAAGAATGGTGAGCTGGCGCTTGACATGTGAATGGCTCCAGATGCCATGCTGATTGTTTGAACCCAGCTATGCATTCTTGATGTTTATGGTTCCTTTAAAATCAGCATTTCAATTTAAATAGTGAAATAAGATACTCATCTGTCATAGTACTCGACTTTTTTCCATACTCAGAACCGCAGAAGTGCTGGTCTCCTGGCCCCTACTGGGATCTCCCAGTCCTAGCAGCACATCACGGCTGAGCCTCGCGACCCCCCCCCCCCAGAGCTGGCTGCAGCTTACGAGGCACCCAAACGGAATCCACAGAGGCCGGTGCAGGAAAGGCCGACCCACTGTGACCATGCTGTCCCTAGATGGAGTCACCTCCAGCACAGTCGTCTTCTCTGTATGACAGATGTCTGTCCCCGTCTGATTTCAGTGTTCAGGTGCCACCTGGTCCTCCAGGGCTGAGCACTGCAGGCAGAAGGCGCAGACCCCCGCTCTCTCACCCATGTGAGCAGGGGCTGGTGATCGTGGCTGAGCGTGGACAGTCCAAGCCCTGGCGTCCAGGGTGCTGCAGGGGATCATGACATCCGCCTCCAGGTCTCACTGTGCCTTCTAGGCAGACGCAGACTGGCCACGTGTCGATCATGGCCCTCATCAGTTGAACAGAGCAGCGTGCTGCTCTCCTCTCTTTCATCCACAGGACGTCCACAGGACACAGTCCTCACTGGTGTCACAGTCATTTTTGTGACAGTGCCACCACCTTGTTCTTATGCCACACAGTTGGGCACTTAAGTCACTGGGGCTCCTTTCCCCCTGGTCTGGGCCTGGAGGGCTGACACCAAGGTGCCCCCGTGGTCAGGCTTGGCTAGGCTCAGCTCCTGGCTCACACATGGTCCATCTCTCGGTCACCTCACACGGTGAAGACGCAGCAGAGGCCCATCCTCGTGACCTCACCTGAACCTCCTCACCCCCAAAGACCTCATCTCCAAACACCTCACACTAAGGTGAGGCTCTGGCCACAGTCAGTTGGGGGTGCAGAACTCAGTCCCTCTCGTGTGTCCTGTAAGAACCATCTGACGTAAGCTCAGCATCTAAGGTCAGCTCCAGAGGACCAGGTGAAAAGAAGACAGAGGTCAGTGCAGCCTGCCCAGGGATGGCGTGCCCTGCAGAGGGGACGGGAACGTGAACACGGCAGTGTCACTGTGAAAGTGGGACTGGCACTGCCCCGGGATCCACATGCCACCAACCCACTGTGCACACCTGAGAATTCAGGGCCGGCCTCATTTCCAAACTCTGAGCAGACTCAACCCAAGGAGGGGGTCTGAACCAGAGCAGAGGCCCTTCCCTCCTCCAGTTCGGCATATCCAGGTTCTAGTGAGGTTCCTCTGACAGAGATCCTCTGGAGATTCGGCCGATAGAGTAACAAGCGTGCGTGTGTGTGTGTGTGTGTGTGTGTGTGTGTGTGTGTGTGTGTGAGAGAGAGAGAGAGGGAGAGAGAGGGAGAGAGAGAGAGACTGCCAAAGGTTCTTGGTCTGTAGTAACGGGAAGAAGAAAACCCATTTCTTGGATGGATGTGTAAGTCCTCTTCCCAGAGCCCTGCCCCGGGGCTGCTTCCCAGGAGCCTGTTGGGGCTGAGCACCCGGCTCTGCTAGGGACTGCCCCGAGCCCCCCAGGCCCCTTGCACGCCTGTCGGCCTTAAAGCCTCACCTGTGCCTGGAAACCGAGCCCCGACAGCGGTTCTGGGGGTTAAGTGGGGTTGGCGTGCACAGTGTGGGCACAGGAGAAGACCTGCGGGGACAGAGAATGCTGCATGGCGTAGACACACTGCTCTCGGGCACCCCGGGTCACACGCGGCTCACAGCCTCACGGCACCCTGCAGTGTCAGCAGGACGGTAGGAGCCACCCTGCGAGGGCAGACGAGAGGCAGGCCAGGGCCCTCCAGAGCCCTCGTGGCTCAGCCTCAGGGACCCACCGGGAGGGCCTCACAGCACCTGTGAGGAGT